TTGGTTATTATAAAAATAAATGGGAAAAATTCTGTAAAATTTTTAGGAAATGTTAATTTTACAATTTTGGTATGTCAGGAAAATTTTTTTGACCCCTAAAATGGTACACTGACCGAAATTTTTTTGGCGACGGGGGGGGGAGGGGAGGTCGCTAGAAAAAAATTTTCCGGAAAAAATTTTTGGGGGCAGTAGTCGGGGCACAATCCGAAAAAGTCGGGCGAATTTCTTTCTGCCCCCCCCCCCCCAATTTTTGCTTCCCGTACGCCTATGATGGTGTACTCATGTAACCAAAGAGAAAATTATGTCTGCGTTGATACTTGTATTTTAAATTTAGCTATAAAAGCTAAAACAAAGGGGTTTTTGGAGGTACTTATCAGGTTAAAAAATATCAGGTTTCAAACGCTTTTCATCGACCAGTCACTGACACTGATCTGACGGCAATTGCTAGATAGTATACTTCAAAATAAGGTTTCCGTTTTTATATCAATTTTTAAAATAATTAAAATAAGTTAGGGTTAGGTTAGGGTTTAGGTTAGGGTTAGGTTGGGGTTAGGGTGAGGGTTAGTATTAGGGTTAGGGCTTAGTTTTGCGTTAGGATAGTTTTTTCTACGTTATAAAAACGGAAACCTTATTTTGAAGTATACTATCTAGCGATCACCCTGATCTGACCTCACGTTCGAATTATTATTAGTTATTTCGCAGGCTATTTGCTAGCCTGCGAAAACAGCCGCTACTTTGCTGCTCCTATAAAGTAGCGGCTGTTTTCGCAGGCTAGCTATTTGCCCATATAATTATAAAGTTATTTTACAATGCTACAACTACACACAACACTACATTGGTTTACATTGGGGCTAGCCACTAGAAGCCTACTCGATTTGATTGGTTGCTCGGACAAAAACAAAATGGCTTCCGACCTGTTTCTTTCTGGGTTTATACAAACGAGCAAATGTTTGTCACTAATCCAGACACTAAACTGTGAAGCTGCGGTTTCGCCAAACACGAATATAAAAGCCCCAAAGTTTTGTTTAACAGTGTGTAGAGGTATTCTTTAAAGCCATTCGCTAACGAATAATATTTTGTTCACAACTATTAGTATTACGGGAGCTGAAATACAAATTGTTTTAAAATATTTTTGTTGTTTTTTGGTCATTTTTGTTTTCTTGCGGCCGGTATATGCTAAAGCAATTATTCACCTCAGGGTTAAATCATCTTTTCGAAATAAGTGTTTCGAAAAACTGAAGAATGAAATTTTTGCGTGAAGCGTGAAGGGCTTCAGTATTGTACTTAGCCGTGAAACGTGATCGATGATTTTTTTAATCCGTGACTCGTGAAAAGGCAAAATATTTTTACGTGAAAGCATATTATGAAGAGGTATAGGGGGCCCTCTATTAATACATAGATCCGATTGATTTTACGGTTTCAAATAGTTTACCAGAATGTTTCAATGAGACAATTAATATAAACTATTGAACTTAATTTTAATTAAGTTGGATTTGAACGGTAACATGATCGTAACATGGCCGGTTCCGCAGACGAAGCACCGGGCTTCAAAACTACCAGTTTTGTCATCTATTGTTTTCCTCAAATTTTAGTTAAAAAAAGCAACCCTTATTCGGATTTTGTTTTGACTTTTGTCTTTGACCTTGTATGAGTTTTATACCTAGACAGTCGTAGTTCAGCAAACCACAACAGCTTATAATGACTTCAAATACTTAAAGCCGAGTGATTGAGGGCCTATTCAGAAACCGCAAAAAAATAATCGAAAATAGGAAAACTACAATGTCAATGAATGTCGAAAACCAACCGCATCTATACTACACAACTCGCAACTGTGATGAATAGGACATAGGTTTCTAAATAGTCACGTATGATCAGAAGACTCAGTTTAAAATCTCTTTGGCAGCTGCATGGGGCATCCGGGCATGTTCTATTTATAATTGAGTTCGTGACCAGAAACCGTGAACATGAACAAAATATAGTACTTTTCCTGAAAACCGAACACCATGTGCTGAAGATCGGAAATCCGAAAAACCGCAGTTTTTTTGAAAATTGAGAAACCGGCTTAACAAATTCCGCCGAAATCCGCCCCGACACCTCTTCAAGCTATTTTGTCAATAGATACTGCCTCCATTTAACAATTGCGTAATTGCATTTGCGTTAGAAATGAGTTCTCGGTACACGTTGAGTATCAGTATCAATCGGATATGTTTACAACCGGCACAACCAACTGGAAATCATGCGGGTTTACTCCAAATTCCAGTCATTGTAGTGATTTTGACATAATTATAGGAAAGCCGGCAAACTTCAAAGATGTTATCGAAGAAACAAGCACGGAGGTTGACGGACCTGCACAACTTTTTTTTAAAACAGTGGTATAGTATACAAATAATGAATGTTTTTATTCGTGCAATGGTAAGAATATTTTCACTGGCATGAGGTGAAAGATGGAATGTTCCATTCAACGAGGCGACAGCCGAGTTGAATGGAACATTCCATCTTTCACCGAATGAAAATATTCTTACCATTAATGCACGAATAAAAACATTCATTATTTGTTTTATATCTATACCAAAATAGACTAATATTGCTTTTTCAAGAACAGTTTATTAAAACACCATTTAATATTAAAATAAATACACACATTTTGACGGATGCGATTTTTGGCGAAAACACAAAGAGTGCAATGGAATAAAAAGTGGTACAATATTGCACTCGCAAAGAGTGCAATGGAACGTATTCCATTGCACTCTTGGGAAATGGAATTTTCTATTCAATATCACGTGACTATAAACAGCCAATTAAACGATCAGAATTCAATATATAAACAATCATCACAATTCAGTCGTTGTAAGAGTTTAAAAATTCATCACTATAGTATCGGCAGGAACAAACACCGCTTCATGTGTCCTACGCACCAACCGCTTTCGTAGTAAATGCATGCATTAATAGCAACACAATAGACTGTTAACCGTGATCCTGTACGGCAAAGTACGCAATAACATGTAGAACAAAGAAATTTGAGTTATTTCCTATAAACCATGTATGCTGAATATAACAATGTTTCAGCGACGACGATTTGTGGATTAATAGTAAGAGTAGTATATATAGGGCCTTCGCTTGAAATGGGAAATTTTTCTTCTTACTCAGTTACTGCGATACCCAGAGTGAGTGGAACGGTGAAATTCATGATCCGTTGGTCATTTCGTTTAGTGTATAGTAGAAAAAATGTTGTTGGCATCATGATTCATAGTATCAGTAGATTATTGAAGATTATTTATTGTTCATTTTGTGACCTTTTGTGTTTTGAGTTCGCTTCAGTTACCCTATTTCGCAACTGCCACGGCTAGGAAAAAATGTGAAATCTATACTATGAGATTTGCAATTGCACCACTAAATCCATAGTATATCCGTCCTATTTCGATACTATATCCACAGTATGGAAATATACAATTATTATGGATAATCGAAAATCCATTCTATTTCCAATAAAGCTCCATACAATTTCCATTCTATGGATCTTCAATTTTTTTTATTAAACTTTGCTAATAATTTCGACAGACAGTGCCATGCACTGCCATCCAAGGCACTCTTTAATAGTTCATAGATTGTGCAATTTGTGATAACAGAGCAATAATCCTTTATCATATTAACCGAGCTGTGCAGTTGATGGATTCTTGGTATCCCTTATAACGACAGAATTTGCGGGAACTACTTATAAGTATTTTTGTTAAATGCAAAACACTAGTCACCCCGAAAACGGTAAACATTTTCAAAATTATTTGATCGGAAATCAGAAATTGTTTGCTGTGTTTCCAGGGGGATTGAAAAGCCGAGAATGACCAATGGATCTGTAACTATTCTATACTATACTATGAAAACAAATGTAAATTTCGATCGTTGTCAGACCAAGAGGCAGAGATTTCTTCCAAAACCTAGCTATAGAATTGGGAAAACTGTTTGTTCCGCGACATTTGACCTTGAGCCATATATATTAGCGCATTTGTACGTTGCGCTTTCTGCGACATATTATTGGGCACCTGTCAATTCCAGCCAATCAGGGCAAACCGGTAACTGTGGTAAGAAATGTGGGCAGGATTGTGGCCAAAACACCCGCTGCGCACATACATAAACAAAGTTACAAACGCGCGTTAAATTTACAACATTTACAATCGAAATCCCGAAGTGTGCGTTGTGATGGCATGATGTGGCATAGTAACTCAAACTAACGTGTTTGCAAATCTAAGAAGTGGTAGAAGGCTGTGATTTGTAACGTGGATCGTGTATGGCTTTGAATAAGTTGCGTTTTAGTGCTTATCTGTACGAAAAAGGCCTCATCTAAGTCCTAGCAAAAGGATGGGCTGTTGTATCGGTCGCAAAGTGCTACCAAATGCGACGAATCGAAGCGTATCTGCTAGCCGTAGAATAAGACATCAAGCAGCCAGTAACAGGACTATAGATTATCGCCACGTTAAAGTGAGTATGTTTCTGGAACAAAAATACACACTTTTCACGTCCATCGGCGAGGGAGAATTTGGGCAAGTTGTACGAGCCGAACACAAACGCACCAAAATCCCATACGCAATCAAAATCATCGATTTAACGCAAGACATTTTGGCAAGCTCTAAATTGGAGTTAAAAATTTTGGAAACAGTGAAACACATACATGTGATTCGACTATACGAGGTCTTACAGACCTCACGTCGTATGTATCTTGTTATGGATTTAGCGACAGGAGGACAACTAATGGATCGTATATGTGTATTGGGCAATTTTGACGAGTGTGATGCGACAAAGGTGTTATTTATGATCCTCGACGGGCTACGGTACCTTCACTCGCGTGGCATCACCCATCGGGATTTGAAACCTGAAAATGTCCTCTACTATCATCCAGGCGCTGATTCGAAAATCATAATCACAGATTTCGGCTTGTCCGCAATGCGCGACGATCCGGACAGCACTGCGAAACATTTGATGAAAACGGACTGTGGAACAATCGAATATATGGCACCCGAAGTCATTACTCGCGCGCCGTACACCAATGCAGTTGATTTGTGGTCCATGGGTGTTATTGCCTACATTGTACTCAGTGGTCGGTTGCCGTTCCCGCTCAATGGAAACGTGATGTCCACTCTACGCGCGATTTGTTTTTGCAAATACAACTTTGAAGGAGAGGTGAGTTCAAAAAGCATTTTATTTTGTTTCGACTTTTGTTAACTCTGGCAGATATGGTTTTTTTTTCGCTATACAACAAATTATATTCAAACTACAGGTGCGACACTTAGTACTGGTGTCGTGCTATAACCGTGGTGTGTTACAAGGTCAGGAATATCAGACGACGTGTTCCCCCCGCAACTCAGTCTCTGGTTTAAACGAATTAATGCATTCCTCCGAACGAATTACGTTCACCACTAAATGTCTTGCCTCTCCAGCCACTAATTACAACTCTGCGAACGAATACATATTTGTTGTATTGGAATTCCGTTTTAATGATTGCGAAAATGTTTGCCTACGACGTCAAACTTCTGTCGTACTGAATGTAATGTAGTGAGCGATATTTCGTATACATAACAAGGAGTTTTACTAGTATAGGTATAGTGTTTTTCCACACCGAAAATGACTGAAAAACAAGGTTTGACTTTGAACTACTTTAAACTGTCTTAAAATCATTATAATAAACGACAAGTACAACAAAACAAATGAACCGGAATTTAAGGAAAATTTCCAAGCAAATGCCGAGTTAGTTTATTGTTGTTTAATACCGTGGTATCAGGACAACAGTTTCTATGTGTTTTGCTCATCAATTATTTATAAGTTTGAGAACTGTACTTGAAAATCGTCTTTTGCAATGAGGCAATTTCCAGTTATGCGTTTTCGCTACGGAACTGGAAAACTTTGAATCAATTTTATATTTGCATGTAATAATTGCCTCTGTATACTATTTTATAAACAGTACTAAATGCTTTTCACTTATTATAAATTGTGGTTGCTCAATAATTGCAACATAAATTGGATTTAAACTTTTGCGTGTAGTGTCCAATAAAAACACGCGACTTGTATAGTACCTACTTTTTTTAAACCACTTAATTCCTAGTTCCGGACAAGTGTTTGTGCGATTTTATAAAAGTTTAAAACCTCACAAGGGTCTAGTATTGGTTTACGTTTCATCGTATATCAAATTCTAATGTATAATTCGATTTTTATTTGCCTGTTTGTATGCAGGACAAATCGTTTTACAATCGGAAATCGAGTAAAATTCAAGTTTTGATTTCCAGTGGTGGCGGAGTAAAAAATAATCAATATACTCTTGAAAACAGCAAATATTTGAATCTCTTGATTTTATTGAAGAGGGAAAATTTTAGTTGTATAAATGAGCGCTAGTTTTACACGTCCTTCCAAAGGCAAATTGTATAACTTTTATATTAAAATTATTACTATTGCAATACGCGTAGTCTAATTATAGAGCAGCAGCGTTATGGTAATGGTGAGAGGAAATTATTAAGCCAAGAACGAAATCCATTACCACAGCTGGAAAGAGCATCTTAAAGTGAGTAAAATTGCAGAGTTTGGTTGAGAATTGTTGTAAAATGAGGAAAAATATAGCCCTGTGAAGTTCGCAAGTTTTGTAGTATATATTTGCATTACGCGCGGGAAAAATAACCATTTTTGAGCTGAAAGTGATTATTTTTACCGCGCGTAATACAAATATATACAAAATTTGAGAATTTCACAGGTCTATATTTTCTTCATTTTACAACGTTTAGCGACCAGTCTTTGCCACTTTACTCATTCTAAGACGCTCATTCTATAGACTCTATAGCTGTGGTGTTGGATATCGTTCTTCTTGCCTTGACCAAAATTTAGTCTATAGGCTGATTTCCACTGTTGCGTTTTTCGTACGCACGTATACGCACGTAAAACTTTGAATCCTTCTATTTTTTAAATATTTTACAAATAAGTTAACAAATGCATACTAAAACTTGCGGAACAATAAATTATGTCGCTTTATTTATCGGGTTATTTCATAAGTAACATTTAAACGAATTTAAATTTTACGTGCGTATACGTACGTATGAAACACGCAACAGTGGAGAATCATCCATTACAATCAAACGGCAAACTCCTATAATAAGAATTCAAATCTTGAATTTGCCTTCTTCAAATTAATGTTCCTCAAAAGTATACGTAACAAAAATGGAAAATTCGACCATACAATAAGCCATTATGTGTGCAAGAATAAAGTATACTTGGCTGTATTTTTGTTACATGACTCAAATGAGAGATAAAGTATTACACTTTTTTCCACCTTTGATAATGTGATATTAATATATTACTGTACACTGTGTTGTACATTGCCATTATGATCTTGACTTTAATAGCATGCAAAGTAATAATTACAGCAGAGTAAGAGTTAATAAGGTGATATCATGCACGATGTTATACTAAACTATACGGCCATATAGTAAAATGCAATGTTCATATTTTAAGTTTTTAACATATATATTGTTAAAAACTTGTTGTACAGAATATAATGCCCAATATATATACAAAATACGTTGTTCCTTAATGATTTTCTGGATTTTGAATTCTGATGTGAGATCAGAAACAAACAATGCATAATATGTTAATTAGCGAATATTTCAGACTAATAATCATCTTTTACTATCAAGATAACTAAGATGCTTATTCCGGTCTAACTTTAAAAATCCGCATGCAGTAAAGATATCGCATTTCCTCTTATCCTTTTCCTCAAAACTCGTTGGAGCTAGCTATTAAAATGTACATATTACAGGAGGAAGTTTTTGTCGAGGAAGTTTTGCCGCATTGCACCATGCAGGAAGAATTGATTGTGTAACATGGCTTTAATTAAAGGCCACTGTGTTGCTGTCATTGAAACAACACTTTGTAGGCTATACTTAATTCAAAACTGAATACACTCATGCAATTTCTAAAGAGGTTCTCGTTAACATTAATTTAAATTTAAAACATTTTAAATTTAATTTAAAACATTTTATTGTAAAGTGTATGATAAAATTTTCTGCTGACCTTTCGACGTTAACAGAACGTCAAAGTGACAACTCAAAAATTATAAAAAAATTTCAAATTTGAATGCTAAGGTAAAGCAATTAAAGTAATGAATAATTAATGAAGTATAATAGAATCTTTAGTGTTTTAAAAATCTGAATAGTTTTAGAAATCTTTGACTTTGATGACGTTAAAAAAATTTATCATGTACATATTAGTAAAGCAAATATACTATCGAAGAATTTTATTATAAAATGTCTAAAGAAACTGCATCATCGCAGACTTCATCTGTATGTATAGTTATGCAACTTTAAAACCAATGACAGACTTGCACAACATGGTAAAAAAGAGAAATTTCATGTGCGATAAACATGAGATAAATCTAAAGGCAATTTTAAGTCAATAACGCACTATACAATACTGACTATGTAATATGTGTAGACTCTCAGTATTTAAAGATTAGAAGTATACCAGACTTCCCCCACTTAATTTTGAATTTTATTGCTTTTAAACATTTCCTATCGAATTTACTTAAATATTGTCATGGAAACCAGACTATTTTGCCGTATTTACAGCTCAAAAGATGTGCGGAATTTTTCTTCAGACGCTTCTGGCGTCACTACCCATGCAAAGGGCACTTGACAGCATTGCATTTACCCGTTCATCGCCATAATAAATGTCAAGCCGTCTAGCTATAATATATTTCTCAGCTCTGTAGGTCAATATCACACGGATTATATCACATCTGTAATATGACAACTATTACGTCAAAGTCATTTAATGTACGAGATTCCATTATTTTAGCATTATAAAGTTTTATACTCATTAACATAAAATACGTAGACTACTTAATTTAAAGATATCGCGGTAAAAGAATTGATATGCACGTATGAGATATCTCTTTTGTAATCAGTCAAATACTATATCAATAGCTTGCTGTACAAATTGGGCGCCTCATTATTTGGTCATGATATGAACCTGACGCTGTTCTAAGTGTGGGCAATTTATAAACCACGCGAAAATAAAAAAAGCCATTCAATCATGTTCAACTGAATTAGTATTTCACTTGAAGTCACTGACAACTGTCATTAAATCATTTTCAATCGAATCATTTTTCGAATATATCATTTGGAACACAGGCTATAGTGTAAAGCAAAATAAAGATAGGTATATGTAATACAGTAGAATGTATGTTCTAATTTAAAGTGAATCAATCAATCTTTGAGCAACTTTTTGCGTATTTGAACAGTGGAATACTTTGATTCGTTTGATACGCATATTCTAATTCTTTCTGTCTTTAAAGTTCAACTGCAGTATATCGCGACGTAGAACACGTCATTAGGTAGACTTTCTCAAAGTCCGTATCATTTTCCCGCCTACCTTGGCGCAAGTCTTTAGTCGGGCATGCATTTGGCTGCGCATGGTAAACTCTGAATTGGCTTGCGTGGGGTGCGCAAAATTGAATTGGTTTGCGTGGGGTGCGCAAAATTGAATTGGCTTGCGTGCGTTTCGAACCTGAGTGAGTGAAAGTTTACGTCCATGGTTGTATAACTTATGATTTCATCTTGGTGACACTTATCTAATAAATCATCGCACTGGACATCTACGAAGAACAGTTTAGAACTGATAAAGCTACCCAATACATACAAGGGTGTGTAAAAGAAACAAGACCTTTAGGAATCAAGCCGCTATTGTTGTCAAGCACAAGATTTTAAGCAGAAAATAGTTTCTAATCGTATGAAGGAGCATATAATTGCGAGCAAATTGTCATATTTATACTAATCAGTCATATCATAAGTTCGAATAAAAAGTGTTCAACTGACCAAAGAGTAAAGCGTTTTTACTGTTACGCGCTGCTTTAAATTAATCATCTCATAAATCATAATTCATATGTTGGACGAAACCAAATTAAAGTTGCACAAAATTCACTTCTATTCTGTTTTACAGCATAGTGCTCTACGATAGTGCTACCCATTCAAATCATAGATATGTTATATACACTAGATAGCGCATCTCTTTTAATAAAATTGAAGCCAAGAATATTCCAGTGGTTACCCCCATTTGAATAGATGGCGGCCATGTTCGTAGTTCCCACTCGCTAATAAACGCTTAAAAAACAACAATAACTTTCATCATTTGAATAGTTTAAAAATGTATTTGGAATAGGTTTAACTTAATGTTTAAGTTCCCTGTTTAAGAAATAGAAAACATACGAGTCTTCTCATTTCATGGGAATATCCTGCATGCCATAAGACTGCAATCACGGCTTCAATTTTTGAATTGCAGAATAATTAGATGCACTATCTAGTGTATATAAGATAACTATATGATTAATAGCTTGATTTCCAAAGGTCTCGTTTTTTTGTACACCCTGCAGTATATTACGTTTTTTAAACGGCCGCGCACGCAGTCAATACAACCTATAAGTTCGCCCAAGGTTATATTTGTATGCTTACAAGGTCTTGGAATGCAAATTGATGCAAGGTTATTTCATTGAAATTACAAATGTGAGACTTTCTTTCCGGAGGAAAGCTTGAATCAACAACATGCCCGGCAGGGCTCTGTTTTATTGAACAAATGCCCAACTGCGCAGACTTTCTATCTAATTATTAGAGCATTAGTAGTTAGTGGCATTATAGCGTGGGTATTTTCCTTGACATCATTGTGTATGATAATTATATACAAACACGAGCCGAAATCACGACAAGTCAGTAGGATAAGGAGCTTAAAAAAAACTGAGTAAATATTTAAGAATTCTGTTGGTAACGTAAAAAATGCCCGAACTTTTCAACGGTCATATAAATATAGACTAGTCACGAAAATATAGACTATGATATATATATATATATATATATATATATATATATATATATATATATATATATATATATATATATATATATATATATATATATATATATATATCAACATAAAAATATCTGTAGTCAAAACTTTTTACAGTAAGAACTATTATCAAAATAATAGCAGTCGGTGGAGACGCGTGACTTGCAAAGTGGTTGATTTTGAAGAAACATAAACTTCCGCATCCTTTTATCGCAATGAAAATCTATCAATTTGTCTCTTTCAATATTGCACAATTGTGGATTTCAGAAATTTTCTTTAATTAAATCAAAAAAGTTCTAGAAACTTTGCAGACGCGTGGCTTGCAAAGTGGTTGATTTTGAAGAAACATAAATTTCCGCATCCTTTTATCGCAATGGAAATCTATCAATCTGTCTCTCTCGATATTGCGCAATGGTGGATTTCAGAAATTTTCATTAATAAAACTTTCTAGAAAAAAGTGCGGGCTAATGAACTGACAGGTTCGTCCGCCAACGGTACTTTCAGTAGGCTACTTAATTACAGAATCTCGCTATCAATCGTTCAAGATATTTGCACTGATGCCAATTTCACGAACTTTCTATAGTACGTTTGCGGATAGTTGAAATGCATGACAGTATCTTCCGCAAAGCTTAATAAGTTCCTTATAAGTACATGATTGATTTTGGTAAAACATGAGTGCGTGGTGTCATCAGTGGAATTATAGTAAAAGTGCTCCAAGAATTGTCATCCCTTTTTAGTATCGGTCCTTTCTTTCTCCAGGGGTAATTGAAACTAACTTATTTATTTATGGTGGATATCACTGAATTCTGCTTAAAATGCTCCCCTGAACAGCCATTTTTTTCGACAATCTCAGGGTGTGTTAAAAACTTCTATAAAGCGCAGGAATGTAAACAATGGCAAAATAAATTCTCGTTCCAATTTCGTGAAATCGAAATTTTCCTGACTTGCGGAATCCATGTGGATTTTAGAAGAAACATTCTGAATTTTCAGTTTGCGTGTCGGTTCTTGCAAATCGCTATTAAGTCCGAAGTCGAAGATATTAAGTGTTTCCCGTGCATTGTCTTTCTGTCACGCAAATGCCCGAGGGGCTGAATTTCGTGTTAGAGACGCAATTTATTCAAAGTTTGCAAGATGACTGCCTTAATTTCGAATCTGTGCGCAAACACTACACGCTATATGCGACAAATTTGCATAAATTCCGCATCGAAAATATCAGCTTAACGTGATTATAATACGTGCGCGCATGCGTCAAATACCTGAACTTGACATTTAGAGTTATGTTTCATCAGACAGACGACCTGTTCCAACGTAACAAAGCTAAACCGATTTAATACTTCAATTACTTTGTTAAGTGCGCATTTCAGCAATTGTGTAAATGACACCCACTTATACATTGTAAGGCTTCGGTATTTACCATACAAGTGTTTATATTGATCCAATTTCACTATTCAAAGAAGTAAAATACAGTAAACAACCAAATCGCATACTTTTAATCGAGACAGGAATAATCTTTGATAATATATCAAATTATTGCCAATTTAATATTTGGCATTATTGTACATTTGAAATACAGTTATTCCAATTTATTTCGATTCCATTTTTGAAGATCAGAGCAGTGATGCTAATTTTCCTTATATTCAGGATGGTACGCCGACTAGTGAGCCCTGTCGTGTGTGTACTTTCATGTCTTGTCTTAATAACAAACTTTACCAATATTTGAAATTTTTCTGGTGGGTCATGTCCAAATGCTTCCATCGAAGAGCTCCCCTCCCAACCGCCCTTGTTAAAATTTTATACAGTTACTGCACGAGAGGTCCAACAACGTCTGTGTGTAATCCATGTAAATCAGTGTGTATGATAATCTTTTAAGGCATAATAAAAATTTGAGAAAATGTTATGGAATCGGTGCTCTATTGAGTAATAATACATGATCTGCATCTTGTAATTTTATCCTGAAGTAGAATATAGTTTATGATGACTGCCCTGATATGAGTATTTCTTGTGACAGGAAAAGACTACATAAATGTACATACTAGGAGTGGATAGAGCAACGTTTTTGAATTCAGGGAATTAATTTTGAAGCCAGGATATTTATGATGAGAAACGATTTTTGAATCTGTCACGTTCCTTACGAATCAAATCGTTACTTGTTAAAACTAGTTATAGTATCAAGCAAATATATTCTTCTACGTAACTTGAAAGATATAGCTTGAGGCGGCCATTTGGGTGTGACCTCATTAATTATTCACTGGCAAAGCGGCCACTGATAACCAAATCTCTCTCCAGGCGATATTTTCTATTCTCATCACTCGCTAGTCACCAGAAACCCTCTTTTGGCATGCGCATGTTGTTTGTTCACTTTTTGTAATGACTATTGTCCACATAATGTTTATTGTGTGCGTAACTGCAATACTACTTTGTAAACTGGTCGATATATCAAGGTTTCATACAGTGATTGTGATAGGCTGTGTAATATGCTGACATAGATGAGATTGGAAATGAGCACCACTTTTTAATGTAATGCAGAAATTCTATAAAATTTACCAATCTGAGAAATTTCATAAATAATTTATGTAAAATAAATCGTTCTTTCTGTTTGTGAACTCAACAAGATCTTTTTAGATATATCATGGCTATTCAAGACAAGACAATTTATGAACTTTGTTTGCCAAATACTGTTATGACACTTTACTAGCGGTTTTTGAAAGTGTAAATTAGGGCCTCTTTTAATACCATAGACTGGGGGGACTCCCCAGCCCCTGTTTTGGCCCCTTATGTTGTCCCCCTCCCAGTCAAGCTCCCTTCTGTCTACAATATAAGCAAAGAAGGGAAGAATAACTAAGTTAAGAAGAGTATTTTAGTATTTCCATGACCAAATCTTCGCCTGGCGGATGAAATACGGTATATAAAAAAAATTGTGTCTAAAAATGCCGAAAATCAAGCCCCAGACACTTAAAAATATAAAATTTTCTGGGCGAGACAAGTTGCCACTTTTCCCGTCCACCACCTCCCAATTGGGTCTCCTTTCCCTTTCTCTTGATGGCCCCTCCACTGACAAATTCCTAAAAGAGGCCTTGGTTTAAATTAGGTTTATTAGAGAAGTTGTTATATTTTAAAAATTTCATAAAACTAGATATGTAGTTAATAAATACAATAAATACAAATACCAACATGGCAGCCATTGCCTTCATTTATACATGTTTTGAGATCAGCGGTGTAATATCATTAAGATCTTTACATGTAAAATCCGATTAAACCGAAAATAACCAACATTACAATAATAACCAGTCGATTGTTAATAGTTCCACGGAGTAGAAAATTATTTATAGATAAATCATGGAACTACGCCGTCAAAACAGGTAAGAACGGAATTAGGAATTGATTATGATCCAAATTTTTAATAACATAGAGAGCGTATAGGTCGTCGGCAAGAACACAGTGTAATAATGCTGTAAACAACTAGTCTAATAATAACAACCTCCGCGGTCTTAATTCAGGTCTTAATTGGATTTTGCTTCTGGCCTTGTTGATCTGATGGACATGAAAAACAGAGATATAGAAGAACCGGTTTTAAAATCAGTTAAATTAAAATGAGAGAAGAGACATTCAAAGGAGCAGTGTCACCAACCTGCCAAGAGAAAAGACCCTGCGTACGAGGTTGCAGCGTCACCGCGTGCGCATCTCTTCTGCGCATACATAAACTTGAAAGAACAGGCTGTTTTTTCAAGTTTAACAAATCCAAGATGGCGGGCGCTCGTGTGGATGAAATTAAACATAAATGAAATATACGAAGTGAGAACTAACAGACTGCATTGGAATTATCAATTCAAGATGTAAAAACCTCGATCCATGGGACTTGGGTGGCATAGTCATGAGTTCCTCCTGGGTTCGGTTTTCGCTGTGGACTCATGTGAAAAGAGTCGGTGAACGCTCTGCCGAAAGTCGTGGGTTTTCTCCGGTTTCCTCCCACAGGGAAAGTTGACAGGGTGGGTTAGGATAAACACAGGCGAAAGTCGTGGGGTTTCTCTGGGTGCTCCGGTTTCCTCCCACAGGGAAAGTTGACAGTGTGGGTTAGGATAAACACAGTTAATTAAGAAAGTAGTATCGCAATTGTTGTAAAGATAAAATAGTCTAGGCAAATATCTAATTAGATAAGCGTAACCATAGATTATAGATTGTACCAGATGTCTCACTCAGCAAAAATTGTGTCCGTGATTTTTTATGAGCACACGTTGGCCGCCATTTTGGCAGTAAGTGTAATCCACGCCATGAAACGTGAGCAATCACACATTTTGGCAGTAAGCGCCATTTTGGCAGTAAGTGTCGCACGCGTCATCTGGCGTGGACACGAAAATCATAGGGATAGATACACAGTGAGACATCTGGTATGATCTATAGTCTATGGCGTAACACTTGATGTGAAGCGCATTTGATCATATCCGAATGCAAATTTGCGCTATAGAAATGGTAATCGTAATCGTGGCCAATAGACCTTATGCATAATGACGTCACAAGGCTTGATGCCCGCGTGGAATGCTGGTCTTGGTAGTCATCGCCCGGGAAAATTCAAAATTCAAAATGGCCACTATCGAAATTTTCCCGGACGATGACTACTAAGACCAGCATTCCTCGCGGGCATCAAGTCTTGTGACGTCATTATGCATAAACTCTACGTGTATTTGGTTTGTAAAACGTTATGCCATATTTGAGGGCTTAAACTAAAAGTGCCGCTTACCGCAAAGATGTATTTTGTATGGGTAGCATTTGCGTCGTACAAGGAAGAAATGTAATAGATCTTCAAGTTTATAGTAAAAAAAGCTCATTTGAAAGTGAAAAAGTTGCCGGATATAATGTCATTACTCATCAAGTGAATTCCAACACCAAAAAAAAAACTAATGAAAACTAATTGACAACTCATCTATTGGCAACATATCAGGCAAATTGACCGTGAAAAGTTGATCAAGATGAGGTATTCTCAAAAGATATATTCTTTCCAGAATGACTCACTATAGGCGCACACTATACTCAGCGCCTACTTTCGGAAGTTTCTTAGAAAAAACAGTCAAAACACGCTTGTGAAAATGACAGTAATGAAAATGGCGCTCTGGAAATGACCCTCACAACAGGCTACCAATATTGTTTTGATTTTTAGTAATAGCCAATTAAAGGTCTCCAGTTGTTTAAAGACTCGACCAGACATTGAAAGCGAAAACAAGTTCAGAATAGTAAATATAGTTACAAACACATGCGCGCCACGTGTGGCATGGTTTTACTAAGTTGTGTTTTGATTATGTGCCTCCTTTGGTTGGTGAGAGCCAGAGGGTGATATGGAACTCCTCTACATAACTACATGTCAAAGATTGTCTGTCCGGAAATAGGAAGAAATATGCTCCGTTTTCGGTTTTCAAAATATGTTAATGTGTGTTTCGAACAGTTTTGCCTTCCCACTGTTGGCAGGAATTATGGGAAATATACAAGGAAACAACATCTTCACAATATCTTCTTCCTCTTGTTGACAACATCTTCACAACATTTTCTTCCTCTTGTTGGTAATGTTTCACCAGACAGGAATTATGGGAAATATACAAGGAAACAACACCTTCACAACATCTTCTTCCTCTTGTTGACAACATCTTCACAACATCTTCCTCTTGTTGGTAATGTTTCACCAGACTCACTGCGTACATAGGTTGTGCCTAGTGCCTGCAAGCACACAAGCAATGCCGAACATGCTGAACTTAGGATAAAAATATTCAACGCGTTCCCGAGAGCCTCGAGGAAAGTAGAAAAACGAAAGAGATAAGACATAAGTGTGTTAACACGAGGCAATGTTTTCTCCAAGATGCAACGCAACAAAAACGTCCTCCGACCTATAATATGTACATTTAGCTAGTTCAAATGGGTTTCGACGAAAGGATAAGAGGAAATGCGATATCCCTTTAGGCTTACTGCATGCCGATTTTGAAGGTTAGACCGGAATAAGATGAAAGGTTATTATTATAGTCTGAAATATTTCTATGAACTGGCATAAGTGTCATTGTCAACCACAAATATGATTGATTGATTGTTGGTATGGATAGCATTTGGGCCGTACCGGAAGAAGAAATGTAATAGATCTTTACGTTTATGGTAAAGGTCACCCGATATAATGTAATTAGATGAATTCCAGCACCAAAGAAAAGTAATGAAAACTAATACAACTCATCTAATGCCAGTAATGGCAACATATCAGCGGCAAATTGACCGTGAAAAGTTAATCAAGATGAGGTATTCTCAACAGATATTATTACCCTTCTTTTCAGAATGATCCACTAGTATAGGCCCACACTACACTCGACGCCTACTATTGGACGTTTCTTAGAAAAAACACGTTCATGAAAATGACAGTATGGGCGGTCTGGAAGTGACCCTCTCAACAGGCTACCGATATTGTTTTGATTTTTTGTAAGAGTCAATTAAAAGTCTCCAGCAATCAAAGACTCAACAAGACATTGAGTTATAAACTAAAAATAAATTCAATAGCTATAAACATAGTCACAGGCCACGTGCAAGGCATGTCATTTTAAGTTGTGTGTTGATTTTTCTGACAGCCGGGGGCGGGGAGGGGGGATAATTATTTTTTTATTACGTTTGTAAAAGACGGAGTGTATCAAGTCTATAAAAGTTTTGTTTTCCCTAAAGGAATCGGAAAAAAGTATTCCACTTTAACTAGAAATACATCCACGCAGCACCCCCTCGAATCTTCAAACCAAACGTATAGTTCCAAATCATTATTTCAACAGCAATTTCACGTTTCACATTAACCATTCGACGACAATTAAAAAAACAAGTTTTTATAAACTCTAAATTGTATTTTTTATCTGGATGATTATTGGCCTTTCTTAAGTCTTAACCCGTTGGCTTGTTTTTACGTTTATAATATCGAAACTAATTTCAACATTCAAAGACTTTTTCAAAACCAACCAGTATATCTAGTAAACGTCAAGAAAATGTATGTTTGCAGTAAAATTGCTACATCTAACATTTTTACGTTCTTTTTCTGCCGGCGGCCTCAAATAAATTCACGGCTAAACATGTAATGATGTAAATCACCTCTGCCGCTCTGGGTAATTCACGCCTCACGAAAATATTATCCCACTCCCTTAGTCTCCTTAATACTTTATTATTGTCAAGCGAAGAGGAAAACACAAAATATTAATAACCATACCTTTTTCAATGTCTTTAATTGGACATCTTAAACATGGATTCAATCCGAACGAAACCAATTTTGGACTTTCCTTTATCGGCGAAATGTATGAACTCGTCGAAAAGAACAATTTTACAGTAGAAGTACAAAACGTTCGACGAATAGTCGTCTTTGCTAGACTTTGTAGCTACCGTATAAAACAGTTTACAAAGACAAAAACTCATAGTTGCTTTTCTTCACGTTTTGTCATTTTTATTGCCGTTTATTTCAGCTACTAAACTACAGACAATATGATTATATGGTATGAAGTTTTAAACTTTGAACTCTGAAAAGTTGACACGTGGCATGCGAATGTTCAAACATCGCAAATTTTCGGAATTATAAATATTAATCACACGCAAAAGTCTCACATCTTGTAGCAAATCTGTCAACAACTTGTCTTCGCACTGCTTGTCCTAAGTTGTCAACAAGTTTGTAACAAACTGTTAACAACTTTTAACAACCTTCTTGATATTATCAGACTTGTTGCAAGATTATTCCATTCAGTTCCAATCAGTTCCAATTCCGATACAGTCATGACATAACAATATTGTTACAACCTTGTGTCATCAAACTTGCAACATTCTTGTCATATCATGACTGTATCAACTGTATCAGACTTGTTAGAACAATTTTGCTACAAGTCTGATAATGCCATCAAGCTTGCCACAAGTTGTTAGCAGCTTGTTCCAAACTTGTTACAACAACTGGGAACAAGCAGTGCGAACACAACTTGTTGATAGCTTGTGAACAGATTTGTAACAACTTGTTTGTAGACCTGTAACAAATTATCCGTTTTTACGTGTGTAAGAACGCGCTACTACACACGTAAAAACGCACAAGTTGTTACAGGTCTGCAAACAAGCTGTTGCAAATCTGTTCACAAGCTGTCAGCAAGTTGTCTTCTCACTCCCTGGTCCCAGTTGTTGTAACAAGTTTGAAACAAGCTGTTAACAAGTGTAACAAGCTTAATGGCATTATCAGACTGGTTATGAGGTTGTTCTACCAAGTTTGATACAGTCATGCATGATGTAACAAGAATGTTACCAGGTTGACGACAAAAGGTTGTAACAATATTGTTATATCATGACTGCATCGGACTTGTTGTAACAACCTTGAAACAAGTCTGATAATATCAACAAGGTTGTTACAAGTTGTAAACAGCTTGTTCCAAACTTGTTGACAACTTGGTACAACCTGTCAATCTGACATCAACTTGTTATAACAACCTTGTGATTTTAATTTCAGCCATGGGATGACATTTCAGATGACGCAAAAGATTTCATTAGCTCACTTCTTGTTTTCGAGCCCTCGCAACGCTTGACAGCGGACGCCGCGTTGGGTCACAAATGGATAAAGAACAAACAACACAATAAACTAAACCTACAAACGTCTATAAGCTCTAACTGGGGTGATTCGTGTGTGTCTTTGAAAAACGAGAAAGCCAAACGGCACGCCAGGACGAAAGATTCTACAAATCCATCTGAGAATTCACCCAAAAAGTCTACATACGGGGCTATTTACAAATCACATGACGATAAGTTACACAGTATAAGCGCAAAAGACTCTGGCGGAAAAGAGCATAAACCATTAACATGTCGAAACAGCACAAGTGTGAAAAGAAAGCCGTCAAGGCAATACCGGTCGAAAGTAAACCCTGTAATGGTAGAAAAAACAGGAAAACTAAAGGCTCAGGATTTGAATGGTAATGCAACGACAGACAATACTGTCAAGTGAAAAGAATTGAAAACTTGTATGAATCGAGGCTGTACAAAGGCGAACTTGCTATCTTCATTGAAAACGTCAGTCGTTCGGCATATGAGAAAAGTGAAGCCAAGATGTTAGCCATTGACGTCCAATAGTTCTGAAGGTCGTAAACAGCCTTCTTCTCTGCGATCATTGAACATATCATACCAGCTTGTGACGTCATAGATTTATTTCATTTGAAAATCAAACAAACTAAAACAACTCAAGAATGACAAGAGGTTCTTTCTCTCCAAATAGAATTTAATTTTATTGCTGTTACTCCTTGAATGAATAAAGACAGTTTTCGGACTGACAAAAACGCTCGGCAGACCAAATTGAAAATTTTGATGTTTCCTCGACAAATACCCGTTTTGTTGCTGCGCAAAATTTTATTACTGCGCAAATCCATATAATGGAACCATTTGGCACCATTTGATGTTGAACATCATGTGTGTAGCACCATATAAAATCCTAATTGAAAACTATACAATAGATACAAGTGTACGTGTTTTAAATAGCTTTAAACACCACTCAACAGATGCCGTTCAGTAGTATTCTTTATATAAAGAATACTAATTAGGATGGACTTTATATAAAGAATTACTAATGAATATGAGTTTTATCAGGTATAAAGCCTCTTCACGTGACATATTATGGTTGACATGATTTGTTAATGAGTTAAGTGTTTGAATATCGATTACAAAAGTCTTATATTTTTATACAACGAAAAAAAACAAAATGTTAATATTTAAAAGTAGGTTTCTTGCGAACACGTGATTTGGTTCATTGTAAATAAGCAATACGTATGATGGACGGTTTTTAAAATGCCACTCACCTAAATATGAACATGCATGTTATGATATTTGGTTCATTCTGAGAAGACATGTAATATTTAACAAATATAAAACATTTTCCGTGTTGATATACAGTTATATCAACACGAGTGGAAATTGGGAAAACGAGAAATTGTGTGGAAACACGACGCCCGAAGGGTGGAGTGTTTTCACACAATTTCGAGTTTTCCCAATTTCCACGAGTGTTGATATAACTGTATATCAATACGGAAAAAAGTTTTATATTTGTTTTATATTTTAGCAAAAAGAAATATAAAGAAAGAAATTTTCCGACGTTTCCGTGTTGACATTTTAGTTATATCAACACGGCTCTTAGCCAATCAGCGTTCAGAATTTACAAATGCTATATTATGAATCTTTATAGTGAAATTCATCCTGATCAACCTTTTCACTGATTCAACCTTGACAATGAGAAAGTTGATCGAGATGAAGCTTTAAACATTACTTTGTCTTAATAATGCTGAGATCATTATTCTTAGAATGACCCAATATTACACATAAAAATTATTATTGGAGGTCAGTGTACTTAAGTTTAAAACGTCTCACAAATGTAATATATATGTTCATAGTGTATATAGTTTACAGTGTAAACATTTATTCATATTCTTTTTTAGAAATGTAATATTCAAAAATATTGTACATAATAAACTGCAAATAGAATGTATTATAGCATTATTTCACCACTATCTTAATTGAATGATTAAAATTTAATCTTCTCAGTTCTGACCTAGTTTTATTTTTATTTTGCATTGCAAAACAGCCGCAAAACTATCCTGCTATTTCTATTCCTTACGTCCGTCCGTCCGCGTTTATCTTTTATGCGGTATCCATTCTCTCCGCAGTCCGTCTCCGCGTTTTATCTAACCGTTACAGGACCGTCTTGGCTACAAGAAGCGATATGCAGCGGAAAGGGATATAAGATCAAATCTTAGAACATGCAGTTTAACCCATAGAGATTATAAATAACACTAGAGGAGGCATCGAGGTTAAAATTTGGGAACGCGGGCTAATGGGGGGCAAATTTATGTCCCGGATATAAAATCATGCTGTCATTGGCTAAATTTAAACTCCTCACCAATGGGAACACGAGTACACATCGGGACTTGAATTCCCCCAATAGCCGCATTCCTTTTTTTGCCTGTGTCAAGATTGCGATGCCTCCTCTAGTGTTATTTATAATCTCTATTGTTTAACTCCTATTAAACGGACACCTTTTGAACCTCACAGATGTATCCGATCCGCTTATAAAGGTGTCTGCTTAATAGGGGTTATAATAATAGTGTTTTATTAACATTAGGAGCAGGCAGTGTTTCAAAATGACGGATGCAGCAGCTATTGTTTTCGGTCAAACGGTAAAAGAGTTTCATATATAAAATTTTTTTATTCAGTTATATAATTTTGAAAGTTCTTAAAGTGACAGTGTCGTTAAAATTTTTATATTCTTAAAAGAATATGCTCTTAAAACTGTATAGTAACTTTTTTTGAAGATTTTTGTTCCCATGCTTTATTCTTGAGAGATTTCATTTTGTTTGTAACCATGTGACGTCATTTACTCAATTACATATATAATGAAATATCAGTAATTGTTATGTATCTTTGCTATTTTTTATCAAAATCTTTTCAAAGATGCAGCACGTTTGTTAATTTAACCCACATCATTAATAAGCATACTGGTTTTTTTATCATTTAAATCTATCAAAAATAGCAAAGATACACAAGCAGTAAATACTTAAGTAGGCGCATTGCCAGCTAATGGGTTATTAATAAGAGACATTGGCAGATTACTCTACCACTGACAAGTAAAATCGTCTGGCGTTACACAGTGTAAATTTGCCTGGCGTTAGACAAAGTCAGCTAATGGGTTAATATACCTTAATGCTGTTTATCCACTTTTGACCCAATGGCATCATTTTCATGTTGGTTATTTATAAGTTTGTGATGAACGAGAAACAAATTTGTGCAGGCCTGCCATGCTATATACCAATGATGAAACGTGGAAATGAGCCGATTGGGTCAAAAGTAAACTTCCCTTTAGATAATTGTCTAGAAGTCTAAACGTTTGCATTCAGTTCATGTGGCAAAAAGGCAGCACTTTCTTTGCGATAGTAACTCCTAGTTATATATGTAATTGAGTAAATGACGTCACATGGTTACAAACAAAATGAAATCTCTCAAGAACTAAGCATGGGAACAAAAATCTTCAAAAAAAGTTGCTATACAGTTTTAAGAGCATTTTCGTTTAAGAAAATAAAAATTTTGATGACAATGCCACTTTAAGTGACTAGTGAGAAAAACTAAATTCCATTGCCACATCCCTGAGGCCGGTTGTTCAAAGGTGGGTTAGCGCCATAGTTAGCGTTAACCCTGGGTTAAAATTTAACCTGCTGTTCTAGTTCGTGTATTTCTGCACGTCTGTTTATTTCAAAACTTCAGAGAAGTAAACTACTATCGATCCAGACAAGATCTCTAAAGAAATATTTCAAGCTGTCGAGAAGTTTGCTTTGAATTTTAGGTTAACCTAGGGTTAAGCTAACCCAGCTTTGAACAACTGGCCCCTGATAGTTAAATTATGTGAACTCTTTTAGAGAAAAAACCCCAGACCAAACCAGGCAAGAGGTACTCACAGCACACCACACCTTTAATTTAATGGATTAAATAATTTCTAATAATTATATATACAACTGCTTGAATGTTAAAACATTAAAATTGCTCGCTGAGACGAAGCCTGCTTCAGCAGGACTCCTATAATAGTTTCAAATATACACCCATGCATGCAATACACATCTCTTTTAGAAAATATTTACAGTTACAATTAGATTTCTTTGCATTTGAAACTTTTTTCTATATAATTTAAACTGTGGAGACTATATAATCCTATCACATCGAACCTTGTAAATTTTTGTTCTTCTACGACTATGTCTGTTGAACAGAACATTCGGTAGTTTCTAAAGTCCTATAAATTACATGTATGTGTTGATTCATACTTTTGGCTATAGAGCCTCGTTTTGTGAGATTCAGGGGTCATCCAAAGAAAAATTTAGAACTGTTCATTTCGACAAGAACATAACTGTGAGGTGGTGAACACAGGCTAACTGTGTGGCAGTAACGAGAGACGAGGTCAAGGCGTATTGGATAACTGAATAGCTAGTAGTGTCCTGGGGCATGCTCCCCTGGAAAATGTTGAATTCTAGAAGTCCAGAATAGCCTTTTCCTTCCTTTTCCTGCGTTGTCAGAATGACATTTGGTTTTGTTTTTGCCTTAAATATCTGTATGGGCGGTTAATTTATAACTAGTTTTCATATACTGTAAAGCTCAAAATCTCAATCCCATTTTAAGTTTTAAAACTACCCATTTTACATTTAGAACCACCCATTTTGGAAAATGGATGGCCTTAGGTGAGATTAGGTAAGCCCAAGCGTCTCACGAAAACGAGATTCTATAGCCAAAGTGATGCACTTCCGGAAGGGTCTATTCACCGACAATGCCCATCAGCATATAGATTTATCTTTATGTTATTTTCTAAAGCTGTCTAATGAATAAAACGACATCCATTCTTTGGCAGTACGGTTACATAAGCGGTTACATATTCCACCATAAGCGGGCATTCTTGGCAAGGAACACATGGAGTTAACTTGGAGTTAAACTTTCTTGGGATTAAACTTGTCCAGTTCTTGCACTGTCTGATCCAGTAGCATAGACTATCTTCTAAAGTTGTCGAGTGTTACATTCATTCTTTGGCATCACAGTTTTCAACAAGAAAAGCCCATCATGGTCCATGCAAAATTCCATCGCGATCATAATTCCACTCCCAAGAAAATGTTAACAAGATATGGTCTTCTTGAGCAAACCATATATATTGAACCATGATTTTACAATGTTTGTCAAAATATACTCTTGGTAACTTGTCTCATCGTTCTCGGTAGCATGGACACAATTCTGAAAAGGTTTCTAATTAAAAGTTCTTTAAATTAAACCTATATATTTTGGCAGTGAATGCAGTTGCAACAACGAAAATCGTTAGAATTTTACCAAGACGCTATATTCATTGCCATATATATCCGAATATTCTTGGCCAACAAGACATGCCTTTGGACAGGACTGAACACGCCATCTTTCCCTCTATGATTTCTAAGATTTTTAAATTTACATCCATTTCTTGGCAGTTGTTGCAACGAAGAAAGCCATAGTGCCAACGCTGGCAGACAAGGCCCAAAAAGCAAGTTTTACAAATATCCCCGAAGATCCCGAATTGCTTTCTGGTTGTAACCGTTCCGTAGTGTGATTCGCGGCTATCAGGACTGAACGAGAGCGTTGTCGAAGAATTACGTCTGGACGTTGATTCGATAATTCTTTGACGAATGTATCATGGATTCTCACGGCAGAGCTGAAAATGAAGTGACATAAAGTAAAATGCTATGAATCATGCATGCATTATGTCTCATTGGGACGAACGAGATTTTAACCCTCCTTTATTAAATCAGCTAAGGATGACCCCGCTTTGCCGGTTCCAGGTGTGAGGATAATTTTAGATGTATCGAGATACGTCCAGTGAACTCTATGTAAACTGGAACGATAACTCCTATTATAAAGACTATAATTCGCTGAAGCCAAAATAGTTTTTCTGAGTTTTGAGCTGAAATACTTGATCCCAAACGTATGGCTATATATCAATCTGAAGCTATTGAAATTGCTATTCGGTGTGGAAATTTCAAGACTTCAGCGAAAAGAAAAATATTTTAAAAGTACAAAAACAACTGCCATTCGGCAAAAAAATGGTACGTCGTTTTGGCTATAGAGCCTAACTGTGTGGCTTCAGATTTGAACTTCTTCCACTACCTCTAACTGACTTGGTACGCATCTGATTGGTTAATCGAATATATCAAACGCATCTGATCGGTTAATCGAATATATCAAACGCATCTGATTGGTTAATCGAATATATCAAACGCATCTGATTGGTTAATCGAATATATCAAACGCATCTGATTGGTTAATCGAATATATCAAACGCATCTGATTGGTTGATGCTATATTTGTTGAACTGCTATATTTGCAAATGAATATAAACTCTACGTTTCAATTAAAAAAAGTTCGAAAGGTGCAAAACTTGGGCAATGCTTATGTCTGCGAGTCCCCCTTTGTTATGAGCAGAACTGATGCGCAGAACAGACTTTACAGCATCTTTAATGGTAGCGGTAGCGGTAGGGGTAGTGGTCAAATCTGAACCTCTATATTTCTCCGCTGGGAACGTTACATATAGTATGAACACTCTACATATTCAGAGATGTAACTTAACACTTGCCCGCGCGGCAAGTGAATATCATGACAGACAAGTAAACACTTTATCTTGCTTGCCCGATTGGGCAAGTTGTCTTGCCACAAAAAGCTGGGCATCTTTAAGTTTATGTTTTCATTGGCAAATAAATTTTTTATATTGATTCAAATTTTGTTTTTTGTGGGCCAAAGCTAGATCTGAGCCATATAGAGCAGCGGGAGAACGGGTCAACATGTTGTCCCCTTAATTTATACCCTCTACCTACAGTAGGTACCCCAGTGGCCATTGTCTGATTATGGCAAGTGAATTTTATTCAGGGCAACTAATTTTCATGTCCAACTTGCCCCGAGGGCAAGTGGTCAAAAAAGTAAAGTTGCACCACTTTACATATTCATATCAGATCCAGTTGTCTTTACCTTTCCTTGAGATATCTCTTCGAAGCACTTTCAAGTTTTTGAGGAGGATATTTCTTGAAAAGATCGTGCGCTTCTTCAATAAGTTGTTCCAAACTTTGCGGAATATGTTGTGGCAGTGAACACAGGAAGTGATGAAC